CTGAGCGCCGGCAGCCGAACTTCCGGCGGAGGCCTCCATCTCGCGTTCTGGCCTGCGAGGCCCACGGGAGCCGCTGCCCGTACTCAAGATGGCGGCGCCGGGAGAGCTTGTCTTATGACCCAGGCGCGGAGGTGTAAGGCTCATGGCAGCGGCCGAGCAGCCGACCCGGGAGGACAGAGAGGAGGAAGAGGAGGAGGCAGTAAGCACTCTGTCGGAAACCCGCACCGCAGTTGCAGTGATGGGTGTGCGGGCTGGGGGTGGGAAGGGCTCAGGGATGCCGTCGGCGGGAGGGAGGCCCCCTGGCGCCTGGGCCGCTTCCCGGTCCCGGGCGCGCAGAGCTGGGGAGCGTGTGGTCTCAGTCTTGATTGCCCCACCACAGAAAGAATGCAGAAGTGCTGGGAAGGTACCTTAGGTAACATCGCTTGCATCCTCTCATTGGAAACCGGACCCAGTTTCCACAAAGGTGGACGGACTCATCACAATGGGAATTTTTGGCTTTTTATGTTTATTGCCTCTTCCTGCTCGCTCACATGCTAACTAGCTAAAACTCTTCTTTCTTCCAGCAGGAGCAGTTTGTTCTGGTTGAATTATCGGGAATCATCGATTCAGACTTTCTCTCAAAATGTGAAAATAAATGCAAGATTTTGGTGAGTCTTCTAGAATTGGGGGATTGTTACAGATTTTCTTAAAACAAAAATTACTGGTGAATGTCTGCAATCCAGCTACTCTGGAGGCTGAGGCAGGAGAATTGCAAGTTTCAGGTCAGCCTGGGTAATTTGAAACAAAGGACTTCTAAGACATCACATGTTGTAGATTTGAACTATGATATCTTAAATTATTACCTGCTTTTTTTTTTTTCCTCCATGCAGTTCTGGGGATGGAACCGAGAGCCTTGAACATGCTAAGCACACCTCTTCCACCAAGCTATATCATGCGCTCTTACCTTATCCCTTTACCTTAAAATCCCTGGAATACTTCTCCCAAAACTTTGTGTTCTTATCGTTGATTGAAATATACCTTGCTACTTGGGTATTAATTAAGTAGTCTTCAGGTTGGAGCTCCTGGGATGAGAGCAGTGCTTATCTTGCGCTTGCTAGAGCAAGTTGCTCTTTAGTTTCCCAGTTTGGAAAATCATTTTTCTTGGTAGCCAGGTCACACATTGAAGGCTTGTTCTTTCGATGATATTTATGATCCTTTATTCTGTTGTAGGGAATTGACACTGAAAGGCCCATTATGCAATTGGATAGCTATGTCTTTGCTGGGGAATATGAAGGTAAGAAGATGTCAGATCAAATTCCTTTTTATGGGGCTGGGGTTATGGCTCTGTTAGAGGCTCCTGAGAGGAGATAGGTTGGAGCCTCAGCACCACATAAAAATGAATAAAATAAAAGTACTGTGTCATGATTTTTTAAAATTCCTTTTTATATATATCTTCCAGAGAAAGTAGCTTTTTTAAAAAATATTTTTATTAGTTGTTAATTTATTTATATATATCTGGTGCTGAGAATGGAACCCAGTGCCTTACATATCCGAGGCAAGTGCTCAACCACTGAGCCAAAACCTCAGCCCTCTCTGTTATTCCTTAACAATTTGTCTTTGATTTTTTCTGCAGATACTCTTGGAACATGTGTTATATTTGAAGAAAATCCTGAACATGGTAAGTAATTACTATGCAAGTGAAACTGATTCTTTTTTTTTTTTTTTTGCCATCTGGGGATTGAAACCAGCCAGGGCATTTTTTATCACTGAGCTACATCCCCAATCCTTTTTTTTT